GGCGAAAATGCTGTAGGTCAGTCTGCTCAGATTCGGGTGCACGTTAAAGAATCCCAGGTAGTCCAAATATCCGGAGCCCTCCACTGCGGCGTCTCTCATAATCATATGGTAGTTTTGGGATGTTGAACCCCACATATCAATCAATCAATTTCTGACCAGGCAGAATTATCTGCATGTTCGTGGCCAATCACGTCACAGTGACTTGACAACGACGAAAACGTCACTTCGCCCATTCTCAAAGGACGTATGAATGAGGTGTCTTATATCAGTTCCTCATATGGTCCACGGCGCAAGGCTGACAAGAGGGTTGCTTTGGAATCCCTAAAATTTGACCATCGCTTCGGTTGTTCGCCATAGAGAAAGAGCATACAATACTACCAGCGATTGACAGCTATGACTGTTTCTCACAGATCAGTGCCATATACAAACTACGTTTCCGAAATCACTCGCAGTTGTGGGTCCATCAATGTGAAATTCGAGTGGTCCCTTTAACAGTGGACCGTGTACTGCGCACGCGCTTTGCGTTAACCTCTGTCTGCATTTGCCAAGCGGATAGGCGCAAGTGTAAAGCAAGACGCGTTCCAGCAAAGTGCCAGACCATCTCGTCCCCGCAGAAATCATTAGGGGAGCGCGCCAAACGAAAACAGCTCTCGAAATGCACGATCCGTCGAGTCCAAGAGAAAATAAAAATAAGACGAGCGGAGGCAATCGAGAAAAGTTTGCAGTTGAGGAAAGGAACGTAAGACGGAATGCTTTCGCTTTTCCTCGACTCGTGAAGCCAGTCGTGGTCGTCGTGACGTTCCCAAATGGGCGCTACACAGATCACCACGGAGGGGATAAAAGATATACTGAAACATAAAAGCGAAGAAACGTAACGAAAACACAAGCCGTGACTTCTCGTGAAAATAAAACTCTCACTCGCGGCGAATCATGGCGCTGAGGTTCGATGGCACGGATGACGACGAGCAGCAGGAGATACGCGAGGGATCCTTCCGGTTCCCAAATCTCCGCGGGGGGTTCGCTCGGAATGAGTGGAATAGAAAGACACGAACGCCTTGGCATGGAACTGTGGCATTCTTCCTTTCTGTGTCTTCCTGAGACCGCTCCCCTTGCAGGAACTAGTTCTCGAACTAAGAGTACTCCGAGTTGAGAAGCACATGTCGGTTTACTTCTGTAACGTCGTCTACGTTGATCTAGGCACATAGTAAGTAGGGAGTTTTCCAATAGGCGCCCCAATCGTTGCGGACCCCCGAAGAAATAGCGTCCAGGCCACTGCGCATGCGCGAGGCCCATACAGGGTCTGCGCTTTGCCGATAGTTATAACGCGAGAACACAGCGACGACTAAGAGACAAGAAGGACACGGTCGCAGAGTCCGAGGATGGGGCACCACTCAGTGAGAGCTCTTGTCGGCGTCAGGAGATGGCGTAGGGCAAGCCAGTCGGCCAGAGCTGCGCTGTCATCGGAGATCACGGGGGCACAACCGGTCGGCACTTGAGTGACTTAAAATATGGGGAGTGTCCAATGCGCCGAAGACCCTATTCGAAAACTCTTCGCTCCTGCTCCGCATGCACACGCAACGAGCTTTGGGGCCCCTATTTGAAAACTCCCTATAGTAACGTGTAATGTTGTTCGTTCAGTGCAGAAAGTGTGACGGCGTGCAAGCTAAACGAATCACTTACCCACGAAGAAGAAGAAAAAAAATTTGTTTTGCTAAATACATGTTCGCTTGAGCAACGTTTGAAGTTTCTTATTACAATTGCTCTCTCCTTAGAAGGACAGAAGGTAAAAAGCTAACGACATTTTAGCTCGAACTTCGTGCATCACGACAATTAAACGAATGGAAGAGACACCTCCTCGCCGCCACCACAGCGGAAACGCCATCCGCAGGTTCATCGGGAGGGCTTGCCTTTTTTTGAAAGGCTGCAACATAAGTCGGCTGTAGCGAAGTACATGCGCTCGCACTCACTAGGTCCTGCATTGGGCGCACACCGTCCGTATAGGCACACATACACGAGACATAGTACGGGCACATTCACAGTATCCAAACAAAATGCCACCTGCTCTTGCAAGGCATCACCGCAACGTGATTCCACAACGCGCTTTCTGCTCCTAGCGCCGTTCTTCTTCGCTAAAAAACTAAACGCATAACAGCTAGACTAGCACAGTATTATGCTTACATGTAGTTTCGCACGGTATGATACCTCAGCCATGAAATGTAATTTGCTGGCACACGCACTGCAGCTTAACGTATAATCAGGTCAGGATTAGTGCACACGAGGCTGAAGACATTTAGCTAAAGTAGTATTCCACTGGCATGCACAGTCGTCAGCAAGTCGTCAACAAACAAGTCCCGCTAACAATTTTCACTTCATAGTTTTACATATTTTTCTAGCTGTTGGCGTACACTGACGGCATAAGAGAGAAATACCGCGAGAACGGCAGCAATAGGGCCGCGCACATTGCAAAGTTATTAAGCCTAGGGATATCAAAATGAAATGGATGCTTACCCTCTACTCGATTTTCGCGGGCTCACCGTGTTTCCCTCGCCCTCTGACGTCGGAAGGCTGCCCAATGAAATGAACTAAAAGCCCTACCACGCAGGAAGCTCGCATGACATATTGGCTGTTACGTCCAGCGTATTAAGGACGCCGTTGCGATGGCAACAAACCATGTCGCATTTGAAGAGGGAACGACACGTGCGAAACGAGCCAGCTCGCGAACGCTTCTATAATGTTTTGTCGCTTTACTGATCCTTCTTTTTGCAATGGCGTATACATATCAACGCTCTTACATTTTAGGGGCGAAGCTCCTTAGGGCGTGGGCTGTGCGTCCCCTGTAGCCTGTATGTAGCCACCTCTAGTTTAGTTCTTGCAGTGTTCACTAGATGGCGGTACCGTCCCCTGTATGTAGCCACCTCTAGTTTAGTTCTTGCAGTGTTCACTAGATGGCGGTACCGTCTCCTGTATGTAGCCACCTCTCGTTTAGTTCTTGTAGTGTTTACTAGATGGTGGTACTTGTAGCTGATGATGAAAAGATGCAAGATGTTATAAACTAGAAAGCGGTACTTGTAGTTGATGAAAGACGCGAGATCTTATAAAATAGGAATGATGTCACATATGGCGCGTGTCATTGGTTGAAGGCAATCGTTCGATTTAGTGCGGCGACGTACCCTAGGGGGAGCGTTGTAATAAAATCCGTTCGCTGTTGGCGCACGCTCGAAGTCGCCGGATGGATAAGGCTGCACAGCGGAGAGAGCGCAAGGCGGCAGCAGCGCGCGCTCGCAGACAGAATCCCGATGTGCGAGCGCGCGAGGCAGAAGCGCTCCGTGAAGCTGCGCGACGCCGCCGCCAAGATCCTGCCGTACGTGAAAGAGAGGCTGCAGCGGCGCGACGCCCCCGCCAAGATCCTGCCGTACGTGAAAAAGAGGCCGCAGCGGCACGGCTGCGGCGTGAACAGGACCTGCCGAACGCCACACAACGGGAAGCGGCGAGAAAGCGTGCGTATCGACAGGCGAACCCCGAAGCGAGAGTTCGAGAGGCTTCTGCAAAACGTCGCGCTCAGCCGCTGCACCAACGTAAATAACCTCTACCTCACCAATGCAAAAGGAGACCAGCGGTTCTACCATAAAGACAAGAACGAGGACACGGCGATGCTGAACGAGTTTCAACGTCTAGGCCAACATCGATTACCGACCGTGACGCAGCAGTATCAACGATCTCTGCGAGAAGACGTTGACTCTTCCAACGAGTTTACCTTTGCCCTCCTCTACGTTCGCTCTCTCAATGCCCACGCACTTGACATAGAAAGGGACCCCATACTGACCGCAGTCGACGTGCTGTGCTTTACCGAGACGTGGAACGTGACGAGATTGTTCATCAAAGGATACGTTCCCGTCGTGTGTACTGATGAATCAGAACGTCCTGCAGGTGGTGTCGCCATCTACGTGAGGCAAACGGAAACGGCTGAAGATCTCAGACTACCACTCACGAGTCAAAGCCAAAACGGAGAATATGCAGCCATCAAACTCTTTGACTCTGGAATCGTCCTCACGACCATGTACCTCGCACCCAACCTGTCGACCGGGAACATCAAGACATTCATAGACACTGCGTTACGAAATTATGAGAAAAAATACAAGAATGGACCATTTGTACTACTTGGAGACTTTAACGTGGCTATCATAGACAATAATTGGCTTATCCAACATATGGCTTCTAGATATGCACTCAGACGTATATCGTTTGACCATATGAAACCTACCACGATCCGAGGAACATGCATAGACCTAGTATTTGCAAATTGCCCACTGCAACCCATACAGGAACCGCTCTCCCTTCATTTCACAGACCATAAAGCCGTCATAATGAAGGGACATCGCAAGCCACCCATCGTCTAAGAACAAATAAAAGTTGATTTGTGTATATACACACACAGCGTTTCTCACGTCTTTACATGATGATCGACTGGGCGAATTACACGGAAGATTCACAGTTTATCGATGAATCCCTCCGGAGCTTCGCCCATTCATCATCATTCACCCCCTGAATATGCCGTAATTTTTTTTTTTAGTTTCTTCAAATAACGGCAACCAGAGCGTCGCCGGCACGTTTCTTCCAGCACAAGGCGTTCGGAGTATTCTTTGGCCAGCTTTGCAGTTTTCAAGCTGTAAAAGTCGGAGAGCTTTATTCTCTGTCGCTACGAGTAAAAAATCATGCTAATAAAAATCCAATAGTAATGCCAATTTTGATGCAATGCCGCGATCACATTTAACGTTACATTTATACACTCATGTGGCGGCAACCTTCCGGCATCATTTCCACTCGCAGTAGTTCTGGCGAGCGCCAGTACGAGTTATGCAGTCGGCACCGATGTTTTCGAGCGTTAGAGGGCCGCTTTAGGGTGAGCGCTTCGCAGCGCGTCCTGAAACAGTTTGATTGAGCGCATTCCGTTGCCCAGTCATGCATAATATGTGCCAGCGGTGTTCCGATGCACACGACTCTCACCTGGCGTGCATGCCGGACCGGTAGGTAGGCGGCGGCGACACCGGCGACAGCATGGGGGGCGCCGGTTGCGTCGTGACCGCCGAAGGGGGCGGCACCGCGGGCGGCACCACGGGCACCGCGTGGTGGTGGTGGTGGTGGTGGGCAGCCAGGGCCACCGGTGTGGGCAGGGTGGGGCCTTGGCGGTCCAAGAGCAGAAGCCGCAGCCGGTACTCCTGCATCGAGGCCTGGTACGACGGTGGAGGTGGCCGGTACTGGAACTCCGGGTACAGCATCGCTACGAACCGCAAGGGAGATTCAAGTCCACGAATCTACACAGACTCGAAAGAGGCGAGCGGTTTATACGGGTGCGCCCTTAGATGTTACAACGCATCAAAATTCCCTTACTTCTCATCCGTATTATATATATATATATATATATATATATATATAGCTTCCATGAAAAGTTGTCAACCAAAATACCTACATCGCCATCAACCTTGAATGCTTCCTCGAACAACAAATAACTATGGACAACAAAAAGCTACCGTTACAATTCAGCAGGTTATATTCATTAGGTATTAGCACAGCAGATATCAATCTCAATTACGCAAATATCTAATACACACTCCTGGCATTCGAAACCTCCTTTTTAACTTCCTGGTGAAAACTAAGCAAAAAAAAAGAATGAACAAAAACAAGAGGGAAAAAATACAACCACCAGTGCATGCGTGTGTTTTGTGCACTTGTGGTTTATATATTCAGGCTTCTGATTTATGCGTTTATACAAGTTTATTGCATTGTTCTTTTTGTCAACGCCGTTATCTCCATTGCAGCGCGTTTGAAACTATATATGTAATTCCGAATTTTGTTAATTAATGTTGTGTGTTTTAGTCAGCTCTTGTGTTACCACTAACGTTGTTAAAATAAGGTACCTCGTGTCGACACAGGAGTGTATTCGGTTTTCTTGCCTTGTAAGAGCATGCGCGCAAAAAGATGTATATGTTTGGCGTTTTGTCATTAAATTTGTGAGTTGAAAGTCAGCGCTCGTCTTGAGTCTTTCCTTTACTCAGTCCTAGTTTTTCGCGCTGTTTGCCTCGACCAGCTATGCATCGTCATCAACTTGGCCAGTTTTCAATACTACTCACTGTTATGTTCTTTTCCGCCCCTGCCTTGTGTATAAAGGGGTTTGGGAACATAGTCAAGCGGATAGTCACTTTTATTTTTATCCCCCCCATCAAATTTGTATTGATGGACACAATAATAATAATAATAATAATAATAATAATAATAATAATAATAATAATAATAATAATAATAATAATAATAATACGCATGCTCGCGGCCGTTTTGCTAGCTCCACATATGCTAAATTTGGTATCACGTGACGTGAATAGATAACGAAGGTAAATGACACATTCAAACATAATAATCATGACACGAAAGTCATGTACGGCATCAATTACCTCCACCTCGTAACATTGTACTGATTTAAAGTGACATATCAACATTTCTCATTCGTGCTTCGCATATCATCGACTCCCACTGTACGTGGCATATAGTTTCATACAGTAAGACCTAGAGGGGAATCTGGCGCTAGGGTCTACGCGGTCTTCTTCAGCGGCGCTTGTACCCCCATGAGAATCATGGGAAGTACAGGCTTCGGACGAATCACGTTCTTGAGGTTCGTGACGCTTGTTTGCTGAGTGTAAAACAAAGTGAAGTGAAGTTATGTCTAATTGAAAATTTCTTCATTTTTGTACGAAAATTTTATTGCAAAAGGTTTTTGTGACTAGGCGTTAGAAGGGAAACCTAAACAAACTTAACCACTCTGGTATGCATTGCTCTGCCGTTGCGTTGCAAATTTGGCATCAAGATGTAATGAATTATTGTTTACAGAATTTCAAAACAAAAATTTTTCGTTTGCCCTCAAAAGAACACAATAATCATTTATGGAAATAACATCACTGTATTAAGTGAGAAACACCTAACGTTTTGTCTGCTGCGATGCCAGGTGCGTGTGTTCCAGTGGTCTGCCCCCAATGCAGCGCTCTCGTTTGTTGTGAAGTCGAGCGAGAAGAGCGTGGTGGTGCGTCTACTTCGTGTCGCCGTAGTTTTGCAGTTGATTTCAACGAGTTTTGGCAAGACGCACTAACAATAAACGTGAACTCAATATAATAGCCTGCACTGGCAGGGGACGCTACATCTAAGCGCAGCGGTGAGTGGACCACGCTTCGCTTAAACTATCAAACACGACTTATACAGCTCCAGCGTAGCATTAAATGGAGAGGCCTAGTAGTTTTCAGCTTCTTTGAGCAACAAAGCCGTAGCTTCAGTCCTTTTCAACCACCCCAGGACCCACTCTACGCGAAGAGCGAAACTGCAACTGTAAAAAAAAATCCGTAGACAGTTCGCTGGCTAACGTGATCCGATCCGAAGCCTGTACTTCCTATAATTCCTATGAGGGTACACGTGTACCCTCATACTGTAATATCTAGAGAGGAACCTGGCGCTGCGATCACGCGATGGCAGCGCCAGATTTCTTTTTAAGTATTACAGTATGAAACTATGGTACGTGCACGCAAAAAGTACGATCACAGCTGCCACCACGTAATATTTCAATTACGCGCCTAGTAAGACGCCAGCTTCCGGGACACCGAACGGACCTTCTGGTGGCTTCACAAGCGCCCACATGGGAGAGCAGAGATGCGTCGTCCAGGTTTTTTTAATGGAGGTCAGTGTGACCTGATCGACCAGGCCTACTGCGGATTCTATTCGCTTCAAGCATCATCAAATGATATACCTTTGCCGTATTCATACTTAGCACGCTAACCGAAGGAGACAACCGGGCGCGACCGAACTTGTGATTTGAGCTGAGCGTGTCGCAAAGGAGAGCGGAGGCAAGCGCTAAACGCAAGCGTTCTCGTGCTTATCCAGACTCAATATTCACAAATTGAAAAATATAAAAGACAAACAAACAAATCATGACTTCTTAACAGCTCAATCAAATTTCTTGATTTGCATAAACTGATGAAGAACAATAAATGCGAACATCCACGTCAGCTTCACTTCGTCCAAACAGACCTGCCTGGCAACCGCTGCGAGCACGCATGTTCATAGAAATCGGAACTATAGCGCTGAGTTTCTGCGGCCATGCTTAGCCTGCGCTATGGCGACGAGACACCAGATTGATTGATTGATATGCGGTGTTTAACGTCCCAAAACCACCATATGATTATGAGACGCCGTAGTGGAGGGCTCCGGAAGTTTCGACGGCCTGGGGTTCTTTAACGTGCACCCAAATCTGAGCACACGGGCCTACAGCATTTCCGCCTCTATCGGAAATGCAGCCGCCGCAGCCGGGATACGAACCGGCGACCTGCGGGTCAGCAGCCGAGTACCATAGCCACTAGATCACTGCGGCGGGGCAACGAGACACCAGAGTAAAAGCAGACAAGGCGAATGCGTTCGTACTGTCCGCTTCAACTCTGCAGCATCCGTAATCTGCGCGGGTCATCTGGGGCGTTGTTCTACTCGGCGTTCGTCCTGTCTGCTTATATATTCCGGTATGTGATCACAAGCACAGTTTATGTATGTCTTACCGACCAATTTCCAGCACACGCTTCTATAGAGTATATACGGTCACCACGGAAAAAGATTAACACGATCGAAAGACCGTTGGCCGGAACAGTCCCTTGCGCTATTGTTTGTTTTTTTTTTTTTTGCTGCGGCGTACATACCCGACAGTGTCACGCCGATAATCAAGCAGTTGAATTGTGCAGAGCTAAGCAGCATGCCGCATATACACCATTACCGTGTCCGCGCATGACCAGCACCTTTCTCGAACAAGCATTGTAGTGAAAAATCCTAGTTCTAAATTTTTGGAATTCTACTTTTTAATATCAATGCCATTTTTACGAACGAAACATACTGCCCAGAATCTGTGAAATATGTTCACATTTAAACGCCTATTTGGAATGATTTGCATTTTCTTTCTGAGGCTTCTCTCATGTAGCGAAGACGCAAAGCGTTACAGGCGACGCTCTTCATGCAAGGCGTCCATATATGTTCGTGTCACAGCCCCGAAAAATCGTTGCAATGTCCCTTTTCTTCGTGCATTGCTGATAATCCGTGAACTGAATGAAACTGACAGCAAGGAACAAATCGATTCATGTTAGGTTGTTTATCAGCTTTATCGCGCACCCCCGTATCAACGCTGCCAGTGCATGTTCGTTGTCGACACCAAACAGATGCACAAATATCCTTCGCTCGGCATATGCACGCAGTTCGTGATTAACTTCTAAGTCACGACAGACTTGCCCTATCTTATTTTACAGCGATAAGGAAACGACTGCGCTCAAAGTACTGGGCGCCCGGGTGAAGCCAGTTTCTGAAAGAAGAAAACGCCCGAGATTATACGCGGCAAAGTGCTGCCTGGAAGAGAAGTTGTTGCCCACTTTTTGACTACGACTTTAACGACGAGATCATATCACTTTGATGTTATTTGGCAACCATTGGCGCTGACACGCAGTGATTCAGCAGCTGCCCATCGAATGCGACATCGATCCGACAGTTTCCGGCGACGATGTGGGCTGATGACTCGCGAACGAGCGTGGCCGCTATCTCCAACATGTATTCCCAAACGAGAGAGAGAGATAAGCCTATATCGTCTCAGCAAGTGTAGACGGCTCATTAAAATGGCTGCTCGCGCATCGACTTTTGACAAAAAGAGGGGCCGATAAGGAAGCACGGCTCTCGGAGCGTTCCAGAAGGAGCTTTCAGCATTCATTCAGTATACTGAAGTATATATCCCAGGAGCTGATTATGGGCAAAAAAAAAAAAAAAAAAAAACGGAGTCAGAACAGGAAGTGCCCTACTTAAGATTTCGTCCTGCAAGTCGATGGCGCACCACTGTATGAGTTTGGATGAAGAAACAAATCGAGAATTTATGGGACTTGCACACCGTCTCTCAGATAACATTCTAGTGAAACAAAAAAAAAAAGTCAGAACATAGGGGCATAGAAGCAAAATTGTCAAAAAGAAATTCAACTGACTGTGGGATGTCGAGCCCGTATCAGGTGCAACTATCGGAGCCGTGGCAAAGCATTCAATCGGCCAAAACGTTTGATTCCCCATTGTCTCTATGTGGGAACGCTTCAATGACGTTAGTGGGCAGCATGGCGCACTGGGTGCGTCAGAAGAACAGACGGCCACCCATGTGAGAAAGCGCGACGAGTAAGAAAACGTTCCCACCGAATATCTATAGGCTTCTCTAGACGCTGCCTTACTTCTTCGGCT